TCTGTCTCAAAAATAAATAAGTGTTAACAAAAAATTTAAAAAAAGAAAAAATATGCCTAGAGAAAAAGGGAAAAGCAATTTGATCTGGAACTTGATTGAATATTAGGGAGAAAAAAAATCATACAGGATTATTCCTTCAGTGAACCTGAGAAATGAATAAATATTTTTGGCCAAAGTAGAATGGGATATTGGAAGGGGTACAGTCAGCGTGTGAGAACAATTTGTCCATCTTAGATCTATTGAAGTAATCAGTCTGAACAGAGCTTATAGGTTGATTTTACTTACTAAAATTTAGTACAATAAATACTGTTAATTTTTTTTTGTTTTTGGTAATGTTATTAAATAATTTAAAATATTTGTTACACTTGTCAGAGTAGTTTCCAAACTTTAATGTGCATCATAATCATCTGAAGGCTTTTTAAAACACAGATTTGCTACCCCTCCCTCAGCTTCTGATTTGCTAGGTCTGGGGTGGGCCCAATAATTTGCATTTTTAACAAATCCCAGTTGATGATGAAACTGCTAGTGGTCCAGGGACAACACTTTGTGAAAAAGTGTTCTATAAAGAATAGATTGTCAGGTGATTTGGTCAGGGTCTAGGTGAATATATTTTTAGTAAACAATTCCATCTTTATAAACCTCCCCACTTATAAAATAAAAAAGGTTGCACTGTACAATACCTATAACAAAGAAATATAGGCATCCCAGATGGGCTAATAGTAAATTTTCAAATTGAAAATATTCTTTAGGAGAAGATGAGTGTTTTGTGAGAAAAGGGCAAACAAGTATAACAGAATATTCAATCTTGACTCTGACCTAAGCAGTTCAGTTCACTCCCTAAATTTCAATACCCAGTCAGTAAAACAAAAGCCCAGCCAGACCCACTACCCTTTAATGGGACTTTGGAGATCATCATTCCTCCATTCATTACCATCATATGCTCTCAGAACTGCAGGCTACTTTTGAGAGTTTCCCAACTTCAGGTCTTGCTCTCCCTGAAAGGAGTTCTGGTATTTATATGTATTAATATGTATTTCTTCATCTCATAAAATTTTCATTGAGATCTTAGTACTCTACAGGGATTTTTACCTCTTAGCTGCTGGCTGACCCACCTTTTTTAATTCAGTGTTTCTAAATTCTCAAGCAGCCCTAGCATTCTGTCTGTGGTCTATATGCAAACTTGGTAGGAGGGGAACTCAAGGGACTTGAGACTTCAGAGCATATGATGATGGTTGAGCCAGTGGAGGGAGCTGTTTGCTTGAGAATCACTGACCTTTTTGGTATCTAGCAGACAGAAGCACACATTTCATTGCTAGCGAAAAGCCTAGTGCTAAACATTTATTGCTCTGAGTTAGTATTTTCACTGAGCTAAACTGCTTATGTTGCTTTGAATTTGGAACAAAAATCACCTTCTATCAAAGGACTATACCTGCAATAGCCTTTGTGACTAAGTGGAAGGTTGGTAGAAGCAGGACTTGAAAAGATATGACCTGTATGATGCTATGAGATTTGCTTAGTGATGTGAACAGTTCCTTATTAAATAAGTGACTTTGAGGGTGCTCAGTCATAACTCATATAAGGTATAAATTATGTTTCATAGAAAAAGTACAAAATTGTCATTCTGCCTTAGTCTATATTTATCTTTAAAGATAAAGATAAATTTTCTTTGGAATTCCAGAGTTAATTATTTATTTTAATAGAATGTGTAGATTTAAATTGACTATAGTGTTGAATTTTAGGACCTATAAATAGTGCCATTAATCTGAAGAAGTACAGATGTGTGAATAAAAAATAATATTTAGTGATGGCTGATAAAATTTTTAAATGTAATGCTTCAATAGTATGAAATTTACCTTTAAACTAAAAAGGTTAAAGTTTTGCTGTATGTGTCTATCTTATTTATGCTTTTCTATGCAAAAATATAGTTCATGATAATTCAGAATGTCAGATAAACTTATAATTTTAACTTTTATCTTTACTGAATATTTATGGCATTACTAACAATGGTAAATACAGCTTAGTTTATAAGCTATTCAATGGTAATGACAGCCCCAAAAATGGAGAGAAAAAATAGACTGGTTGTCAGGAGATCCTGGGTTCTAGAGATGAAGTCTCTTCCCTATTAGCAATGTGATTTTGTAAAACTATTTAATCTCACTGGGCCTCAGTCTTTTCAGTTTTAAATTAGTAAAGTTCAACTTCTAAGACTTTCCAGGTTCCCAATTTTTAATTTTTTTCAGATGATTTTTATTTCTTAAGATTTAGACCACTTGGTATACCAAAGCAAACTGAATACCAGTATATTTTAAAACCACGTTGTTCCAAAAACACATGTATATGTGAAAAATAGTCTAAATCTAATGTTAGTTATATGGCTAAAAAAAAAAAAAAATATATATATATATATATATATATTTATATCATAATTTTGGATCACTTAGCTATTGGGAATATTGGTTTTATTTTTATTAATAAGTTTTGTTTTAGTTAATAGAATTACTATTTTCTCATTATTTTCATATAGTATACTATTATAATTCTTATCATCCATTAAAAAATAAAATTCCCAAGAAAAAAATATGGTTTACTTAGAATTTTGAAAGTTAATGAAAAGTCATTTTAGGTTTATATAACAGGATGTCAAAGAACTTTATGTATCACATAGTCATAAATTTAATTTTTTAGAGAGAAAAAATTTAATGTGATGACTATAAAAATATTGATAGAGACCAAAATATTAACCACAA